AGTACGTCCAACGACTGTAATCCGCACATCATACTGAGAAACTTTATGGCGCACACACTCAGATGAAGCTGCGGCGCGGTGGATGGCCCCGCTAGCTCCAACCACCAGGTTCAACTAAGCATCCAGCAATCACATGAAGCAGCGACGACACTCCAGTCCTCCTTGGGAGTGGCCTAGGCCATGGCCACGATTTCATCGGAGTTTTCACCACCTAACACATCGCAGGCGGCTACCATCTCGCTGTGTTTACCTTTCGCAGCCGCAGTCAGTGCCCATGGCGCCCCCTGTATTCAAAATACTTGTAATATGTATTTAAATAACAAACCTAAGCTAATTTACTCGGTAAACACATGCTTAGTAAAAATTTTGTAGGCTGAACGCATTACGCACGAATAATTTACTCGTTTAACTAGCTTTAGGTAATATTTTTTCAAGTGACGTCACTTCTGTACGGTGCAGAAGCCAGTTCTGTGTGGGGATGGCTGCTGCGCCGCGCAGTGCACGAGACGCTGCCTTTAAGTTTGCAACGTAAAAATTCGCAAAAACATCAAAAAACGGCAAGTTTTTGTTTTATATTAAGCTTCCTAGGCAGCGCGACAGCCAGCAAGTTTAAACAATTGCTTCAGCAGTGTTGGTTTGAATTTGTTGTCTTCGTTTTTTCTCTGCCTGCCACGAGAGCCATGACGGAAGCGCTGCCGCTGCCTCCGAGCGCGCCTCCCCAGTTACTCTCTCTACTCTCTCACATAGAGTTAATCTATACTCTCTCGATTTCACCCCCCGACGCCGATTAGCGACGCTCTCCATCGCCCGCGCGCCGGCCTGTCACGCTTGCTCTGTCGTCTGCTAAAAAGAATCACGAACGTTGTTCGGAGCTGTTCCGACCGCATTAAAGAGTTAGTATTAATGTATAAATAGCTACAAAGCGAAATAATGTTGAGAAGTGACTCTTACCAGATATTTCGTTCCCGCCCCAGTCAACTTGCCGCCGATATTAGGGAGTTTTAGTGCTGGGTACCCAAGCGGCTTGCGTACGCAGGACTTTGGGGTGGCGGTATTGCGCATGCGCGAAACCCCAAACAGATGCGTCGCAAGATCGTTCGTTGGGGCGATGGGGCCATGTGTCCGCGCGGTCCACCTTCGCAAGAACTCACGCTATCCGCACTGCGGATACTCTAGCCGTCGAGTTAAAATAAGCCAAAGTGCGAGCAGTTATAGCGATCACACGGTTTCAGCCAGATTACTGAAGCTCGAATGGCCTAGGACATAGAAACTAAAAATATGCCAGCCCCCGACCAGCTGAATAGGTGGCGCCATCTATCGCGGCTATAGTGAAACAGACAACCACAGCATTGTTATTGCAGAAACATTGTGCATTGTACATCTGATGCAAAAACTGCGCAGCGACAATGTCACAAATGAGTAACCTTTTTATTCATTTTCACCTCAAAAACATTACGCGTAAGCTAACATGTTCATGACTGCGGTTGCACGAAGTGTCACAAGATGTCGACATTCTCGTTACGATAACCTTGTATTTTTCACTTTTTTGCGTATACCAGATTACTGTACACAATAAAAAAAGTGTCCTGATCACTATGTTCGTTTAATTTAACATTTTAAATCATAAAAAGACTTAAATAATGCTTACGCGACATGACGCTATGGCTCTGCGAGCGCGTGTGAACTTCGTGCGGCTCGCGTTTGCGTGCGTGCTACCGTGGCGCCAACTAAAAGGCATTCCGGTTGGGTATGGGTTGGGCACGCAACGCCGCGCGCTCCCAAGCCCGCATCGCCCCAAGAGAATGCGTACCCAGCACTAAAACTCCCTATTTTTAAACCGTCCTTTGGTCACAGTGGCAGTTCTACGTTTGTTTGTTTTTTCTGTTTGCTTGAAGGGTGCTGCTCTCCTGCCTTTTCACCGGTCACTATTCACTGCTGTTGCGTTCCATTCTGTACCTCTGGCAAGCAAAATAAAGCAGCAGGGGTGTCATTTCACGAGATACCAGCAAACATGGCGCTTCGTGGACGATGACTATGATTGATCGCGCGATCAATCCACGTCACAGACTTCTCGGCAGAGTGTATTCCACGTCACAAACTACTCGGCACGTCACAAACTACCTGGCAGAGTGTAGCCGACATTTCGCGGAAGCTGACTTTCATGAAAATGCGAAGAGGCGCATGCTGATCCCCTGATGCAGTGACGAGTGTCGAAAGAGTTCCCAGTTGATTCCCGGCTAATGCCAGTTGAAACCATTTGGATTCCCAGTAGCACATTTTCACTGAGGGTGTTTTCACATTACTTGGCGTGAATGAATTCTGAGCCTCCTTATGAGAGAAGCAGCAGCAGCATACAAAAGAGGAAACCAGATTTCTCGACGGACGCGCTGGAATTGGTTTGCCAAGTTCAAAAACGGATTCGCGTCCGGCATCGCGGGGCCAGACGTTGACACGAACAGGTTTGAAGAAGTCAGTGCGCTCAGCTGTAGCAGAAAACAAGAAACGGCTTTTTCAAACAATATCCAAGTCTTGCCCTCTGTGAGAGCAGACAGTAAATATTGTCAGTCCGCAGGCTTCTTTGAGACAACAAATGCGCAGCCAGCGAAAGAGGGACCAGGCACCCGTGCCTCGAGGTCAGCCGACTGCAGGAGCTCAGCATCAGCTTTATTGGAGGAAAATAAATGGTGCGAGAAAGAAAGAGCATGAAAGCTATGAAATGAAAGGCTACAGGCAACAGCCGCTGTCTCTAAAATGGAGCTGCAACGATTAGAGGAGGAATGCAATGTGAGCGAATTTCTTTAAGTCTATAGTGACTCGGATCAGCGAACTAAAGCCAGAGTCATTATGGAAAAGGTGCTAAACTACAAGGCGAAAAAAAACCGCAGTGGTGTTAAATTATTATGGTTCGCGTTATTCTGCGGAACTTCGACAAATGAGTACCAATACATAAGGACAGAGCTCTTCACACTCCTGTGTGAAGAGCTCTGTCCGCTTCAAAAGTAGTTGAAAACTACCTCCGGAGAAATAGGTTTCAGTGAACTAGTGAAGCAAAGGCGCAAGGCTGAAATGGACAGCCTCGGAATGGAGCAAGCCAGAATGTGCAGCCTCGTCATAGATGAAACTGACAACAACCAAAGAGATGTCCTCCTGTGAAGACACCTACGCATGGGTGCCTCTAAAGAAAGCCTTGTCCAACTCGGAAAGGATCGAATTATAGAACTGGCTTTTGTGCTTCTAGATCTGTGTCCTTAAGACTAGGGGTCGAATTCCAATGAAATGCTTCTTCACCAGAGCACGCACTGGTGAACTACTTGCTGAAACTACTAAATACATCATCAGAACAGTTGCGATTCCACATAGCACGACTTGTGACTGACAACTATAAAGTAAATGTCGCTGCAATGGATATATTGGCAGATGGGCAACCAAAAAAACCAGGTATTCTATCCCATCGACCCAAGCCGCAGTTCGTTTCTGGCATTCGATCACAGTCACCTTTAAAAAAAACATCCGATTGAACTTTCTAGCACCAGAATTGGGAAGAACTGGTGAAATTTTAGCAACTTACATAACGCGGACCTCTACAGGATGCAGCGGTGCCCGACTCTCGGGCCTTCTTAACGTCTACACGTCTAACATCAATATATTGTCACGACGCAGACACAGCAGAAGTCGGATTATAGGAGAGCTTATTTTAATTACACGCAAGGCGCTCGTAAAGAGGATGGGGCAAGAACTTCGTCTTTTCGTCTTCCCTTCTTGCTGCGCGAGCTCTTCTCTGCAGGTTGAATGGCGCATTTGTTTCCCTCAAGGAAGAGCATCGTCCCGATGCTTTGCGACAAAATACGCGGTGTATGTAGTTGACGTATTATGCAACTGGCTCACTGTAATATGGCTTCATCCGCACAACATGCACAGATTTCAGATTTTTGCTGGCGAGTTCGCGAGGAACTGTCAGGGATGACCTCATAGTTCACGTCACTTAGGTGCCGTACAACATTGTAGGAACCAAAGTACTTCTTGATAGCTTTTCGGAAAGGCCGCGCCGGCGGATAGGGCTCCAGACCCACACTTTCTCGCCTGGTTGATAAGGGACGTATCGGTGTCGCAGGTTATAACGTTGTGCGTTGTGACTCGGCTGCCGGGCGATTCGCAGGCGTGCAAGCTGCCGTGCCTCTTCAGCTCGTTGGGTAAAGGTTGAGCATCGGTGTCTGTATCGTCGCAGTCGTGGAGCAACATGACATCAAGCATTGTCGTCACTTCACGGCCATAAGAAGATTAAATGACGTGCTTCGGGTAGTTTCCTGCTGCGCCGTATTATAAGGAAACGTCACGTATGGTAGAACGTCGTCCCAATTATTATGATCCACGTCGATGTGCATACTCAGCATATCGGGAATTGTCTTGTTGAGGCGTTCTGTTAATCCGTTGGTTTGTGGGTGGTAGGAGGTAGTTTTTCGATGTGCTGTTCCACTGAGCTCAAGCACTGACTTGAGCAGCATGGCCGTGAAAGCGGTACCTCGGTGCGTTATTATAATCCTAGGAGCACCATGCCTCCAGAACGATATTTTCAATGAAAATTCGTTGCCACTTCTACTGCGGTTCCGCTCGATAATGCCTTTGTTTCTGCGTAGCGAGTAAGATAGTCGGTAGCGACAATTACCCACTTGTTTCCAGTATGCGAAATGGAAAATGGTCCAAAGAGGTCCATTCCGATTTGTGCAAACGGTAGGGTGGGTACTTGAACTTGCTGCAAGTATCTGGCTGGTTTTAAATGTGGCGATTTTCGTCGTTGACAATCGAGGCGCGTGCGGACGCAATGCTTTATGAAACGAACACGCCAAGGCCGTGGCTGGGCCAAGACAAAAAGCTTTATTGCGATAGCGCGGGTTAATGTAGCGTTGTGCGAGAGGGGTTAAGGGGAAGGGAAGGAGAAGAAGCAGTGGTGATAACGGCGGCTTCGGCTGGCGTGACGTCACGGATACATCATTCCGCTCCCCCTACGGTGAGTAACGGTCTGGGGGTTTGCGTTGCCGGCCCGAGCGACGCAACACCGGAGTTGAGGGGCTCCCGGCGATCTCGCTCCTTGTTGGCGCTCGCCTCGGTGTTCCTCCTGCTAGGGCCCCGCCGGCAGTTTCGAGGCACCGAGAGTCACCGACTTCTCCCTGGTCATGCTCCAACTCCCGTGGCTTCACCTGGTCGCTGTGGCGCCTAATGGTTTCCCCCTCCGGACCATCGGCATTCACCAGGCGGGCTCCGTCTGTCGATGTAATGCTGGCTGGAGTCCACGGCTCGCCTCGCCCGAAGTTCCTCACCCAGACTGGCTCCCCGGGCTGCCACCCATCGAGGGGGGGACGGTCAACTGGTGAGGGCGGAATGGACACTGCGTTGTCCAGCCTGGAGCGAAGATCGTAGCCCATTAGGAGTTGCGCTGGTGTCCGGCCCCCGGCCTGCGGCGTCCTGCGGTACCTGTGCAAAATCCTAGCCAGGCGGGTTTTCAGTGACCCTTGTACGTTCTTCTTCAATGAATACTTCACCGTACGAACCGCCCGCTCCGCGAGCCCATTGGACTGGGGGTGATACGGTGCTGTTCGGAGGTGTACTATGTTATTCAGCTTCGTGAAGGTGTTAAATTCCCAACTCGTAAACTGTGGGCCATTATCGGATACCAGCGTCCGGGGCAACCCGAATGTACTGAACAAGGTGCGCAGAGCCTCTATGGTGGCGTGTGTGGTGGAACTCTTCATGGGTATCGCTTCTATCCACTTACTATGTGAATCCACCACAATCAGTAGCATGTGACCATCGATCGGCCCCGCAAAATCGATATGCAGCCTCGACCAACGCTCATCCGTTTCTGGCCACGCAACAGGGGGTTTCTTTGGGGGCATAGGGGCAGCTTGGATGCAACTGGTGCAGGACTTAACCATGTGCTCAATGTCATTATCGATCCGGGGGTACCACATCAAGGAGCGCCCTAGCCGCTTCATTGAGCAAATCCCTTGATGAGTATCATGCAGCAGACGTAACATCACTGCTCGGGCACTCTTAGGGACGATCACTCGATGGCCCCAGTATAGAAGCCCATAACTCCCCGTTATCTCAGCTTTCCGGTTGAAGTATGGCATCAAGTGCTGGTCCTTAGGCCCCAAATTTCTTGGCCATCCTTCCTGCACCCATTTTTGCACCTTTGCTAAATCGTCATCAAGCTCCGTGAGAGTGCCCAGTTGCTTCGCAGACATGACACCATCATTGAGGGTCTCCGTGAGCAGGACATACTCACCGTCCACAGTTTCTTCCTGCGTCTCTGGCTGGGAAGTTGCTGACGTGGGGAGTCGGCTGAGGGCATCGGCTGGAATGTTGTCTTTCCCGGGCTGGTGTTTAATGACGTAATCGTAGGCGCTCAGCAGCAGAGCCCACCGCTGGATTCGCGCAGCGGCCATCACGGGCACTGGCCTGTCTGGGTGAAAAAGTGCAACAAGCGGCTTATGGTCCGTCATCAATGTGAAAGTATTGCCGAGCAAGTATTGTCGGAATTTCGACGCACCAAACACAAGTGCCAAGGCTTCACGCTCCAGCTGCGAGTAATTTTTCTCAGCTCCAGTCAATAACCGAGAGCGGAACCCTATGGGCCGAAGTACTCCGCCCCCGACATCGTGTGAAAGCACTGCGCCTATTCCGTCCGGGGAGGCATCGCATTCCAGGACTAGCGGCTTGTGTGGGTCAAAATGCGCCAGAAAGTCTGCGGATTTCAGAAGGTCTTTCACACTGCTGAATGACTGCTGTTGAGCGGTATCCCACTTCCACTTAGCTTCCTTCCGGAGTAGTTGATATAGGGGTGCCATGGCGGTCGATGCATTGGGAAGAAACTTGTGGTAGTACGTTACCATGCCGAGGTAGGACCTTAATTCTGCGGAATTCCGTGGTGCCTGAACCTTAAGGATGGCGTCTATGTTTTCCGTCTTTGGTTGAAGACCTCGAGCGCTGGTTCGATGCCCCAAAAAATCCACCTCTAGTTGGCGGAACTTGCACTTGTCTGCGTTCAGGCGCACGCCGTATTCCCGGAAACGCTTGAATACATCGTGCAGGGTGGTGCAGTCATTGCGTTTCTCTGCCACGATGACGTCGTCTAGGTAGACCTGAACACCCGGAAGTCCCTGCAAAATGGTCTCCATACGCCGTTGGAACACGGCCGGCGCGGACGCCACTCCAAAAGGCAGGCGAGTAAAGCTGAACAGTCCCTTATGCGTGTTTATGGTCGTGAGGTGCATGGCTTCCTCATCCAACGGAAGCTGGTTGTATGCCTCCCGCAAGTCTATCGTGGTAAAAACTTCACTGCCATTTAATGTAGCCAGGATATCCTCCACCCGTGGCAACGGATATTGCTCAGTGCGACAGGCTTTGTTGACCGTTAGCTTAAAATCGCCGCAAAGGCGGATGCAGCCATTCCGTTTCACTACCGGTACCACTGGCGCCGCCCACTCCGCATGAGGCACCGGTACAATAATACCCGCGCCCGAAAGGCGGTCCAGTTCCGCGTCGACCTTTGGCCGAAAAGCATACGGAACTTCGCGTGCTTTCCAAAACTTCGGCACCACGTTTTCTCGCGTCTCGAAGTGTACCGGTGGCCCTTTTATGAGCCCTAAACCTGGCGCGAACACATCAGCGAATTCTGCTAGCAACCGGTCCACGTTAACGTCGTCAGCACCGAGTAACGGCAGTTGCTCACCTGACGTGTTCACGTTCATTACCGGTGCCTCGAGCATGTGGAACGCTTGAATCAGGTCGCGTCCGCAGAGGTTTGGGCCGGAGCAACCAAGGACTTGCAAAGATCCAGCCATCGACTTGTTCCGCACGAAACCTTGAGCTGAAGTTGTCCCCGCACTGGAAGCCGTCCCAGGAAGCAGGTGAGTTTCAATGGCGAACCACGCAGCTTCGGCCACACTGTTTTGTTCCGCTCATATGTGGGCCACGTGATGACCGAAAACCGGCGAGCCTGTGTCGACCTGCATGTTTACTGGAACCCCACCACAATCCAAGGTGCGCACGATGGGTTGCGTAATGCCGACGTGGCCGATGTGACTGTCTGCTGCCTCCAGCGCGAGCATCATACCGTCCGTGCCAGTGTCTTCCTCCCGCGACAAGGCGTGTACTTGGCGTTCTGGTGGTACCACCCCGAACCCACTCTCACGGCGGCAACAGGCTCGAGCGATATGACCTCGTTGTTTACACTTGAAGCATGACGCCGAGCGGAAGCGGCAATCCTCGGGTCCGTGCCCTTTTGCTCCGCAGCGGTAGCACCCAACAATCTGTGGCCGGCTTCGTGGGCGATAGGACTGGCCTCCCAGCGCATGCACACTTGCCTCAGCGGTGGGGCTTACTATCTCTTGCGCGTTGGCCTCGGCCATTTCGGTAGATATCGCAATTTCTTCCGCTTCGCTCCTCGTCAGCTGTGGTTTCGCGAGTAGCTGCCGACGCACTCCGACGTTGTGCAGACCACACACGATGCGATCTCGTAGCATTTTGTCCAACGAAGCACCAAAATTGCAGGTGTCCGCTATCTGTCGAATCGCCACGACAAAATCCTTGACCGGTTCGCCGGGCAGCTGATTGCGGGTGAAGAACTTATAAGACTGTGCTATCTCGTTCGGTTGCGGCGAGAAGTGCTGCTTAAGCAAGGCTATCACTTGTGGGTACGAAAGTTCATTCACCTTATCCGGAGCACAACGTCCGCTCAGTACGTCGACGGTGTGGGTGGACAGTGCAGTCACCAGCAGGGCCCGCTTCTTGTTGTCTTCCGTGATTCCATTTCCCTCAAAGAAGGCTTCCAGCCGAACCTGGTACGCGGGCCACTTGTCGCTCGCCTCGTCGAACTGCGGCGGGCTGGCGTATCCTCCCGTGGGTGCGGCGGTCATGACGGACGGAGTTGCCGCACCGCTTTTATCCCATCCTTGTCGCCACTGAAACGAACACGCCAGGGCCGTGGCTGGGCCAAGACAAAAAGCTTTATTGCGATAGCGCGGGTTAATGTAGCGTTGTGCGAGAGGGGTTAAGGGGAAGGGAAGGAGAAGAAGCAGTGGTGATAACGGCGGCTTCGGCTGGCGTGACGTCACAGATACATCACTTTACAGTGTCTGGAAGCTTCAGCCAGTAGTACTTCTGTTGGATTCTGTCCAATATGCGCGTGTATCCGAGGTAGCCGGAGGTTGGCTCATCGTGGCAAGCGCTCAGGATCTCATCACGAATGGATGTCAGGACGACAAGTAAGTGGGGCTTCCGCTGGAGGAAAATTTCTTCTTATATAGGACACCACTGCGCAAGCAGAATGACGGCAGGCTCCTTGCAAATATCTTGGGAACTCTTGTAGACTGGCCGTTGAAACTTAATAAGAGAATGCAACTCGCTGTCTTCTTTCTGCTTAGACGAAATGGTGACCGTGTCGACCACTCCTAAAAACGCCATGCCATCCTCTTCTAGGACATCGTCTTGCTTTATAGGTGACCTGGATAAGCAATCAGCCTCGGAGTGCTGCCGTCCCGACTTCGATAGACGACCGAATATCGATGGACGAAGAATTCGATAGACGACCTTCATATCGAATTCTTGAAGGCGTAAGCTCCAGCGCGCTAGCCGACCAGATTGGTCCTTCAAGTTGGTCAGCCAGCAAAGGGAGTGATGGTCCCTGACTACGTGGAAGGGACGGCAGTAGATGTATAGGCGAAACTTCACAACTGCCCATACTACAGCAAGACATTCCTTTTCCGTTGTGGAATAATGGGACTCGGTGCGGGAAAGTGTCCTACTTGCATATGCGATCACTCGCTCGGCTGAGTCTTGCCTTTGGACGAGTACAGCGCCTAAACCTACGTTGCTGTCATCGGTGTGGATCATGGTAGGAGCGTCCTCGTCAAAGAGAGCAAGCACAAGTGGTATCTGCAGGCGCTGTCACAGATCGTCCGATGCTGCTCGTTCTTCTTCGCCCCATAAAAATGGAACATCGCCTCTCGTTATGCGTTTTAAGGGCGACGCTATGTGCGAGAAATTGGCGATAAATCTGCGGTAGTAGGCGCAGAGGCCAAGAAAACGTCTCACGGCCTTCTTATCTACTTGGCACCAAAAATTTTCGGACGGTGTCAATCTTGTCAGGGTCCAGGACGAACACCTTCGTGGCTCACCACATGTCCTAAGAATCGGAGTTACTTGAAACCGAAAGGACATTTCTCAGGTTTCAGCGTTGGGCCGGCGGACCGTATTGCTTGAAATACTAAAAGTAGCCGTCTTAGATGTTCCTCGAATGTTGCTGAGAAAACAATGACGTCGTAGAGGTATTCCAGACACGTCTGCCACTTAAGGCATATAGGACGGTATCCATCAGTCTTTGAAATATTGCTGAAGCTGTGCACAATCTTAAGGGCAAGACTTTAAACTCGTAAAGCCCGTCAGGCGTAACAAAAGCAGTATTTTCTCTGTCTCGCTCATCGACCTCAATTTGCCAATATCCGCTTCTCAGGTCCATCCACGAGAAGAAGCGTGCATGCCTCAGCCTGTCAAGCGAATAGTCAATACGCGGTAACGGGTATGCGTCTTTCTTTGTCACGTGGTTCAGCTTGAGGTAGTCCACATAGAAGCAGAAGCTGCCGTCTTTCTTCTTAACCAGCACGACCGGTGACGCCCAAGGGCTTTTTGACGGCTGAATGATGTCATCATAGAGCATTTTCTGAACTTGTTCTTGGATTGCTCCGCGCTACGTCGGTGCCACGCGGTATGGGTTTTGTCGAATTGGTCTGGCCGTCTTTCCTGTTATAATTCGGTACTTTGTCAGTGGCGTTTGATTTGCCCTCGAGGTCGATGAAAAACAATCTTTGAACTGGCCGAGAACATCTAGAAAACTCGGCGTCTGCGCTAGCGATAAGGCTGTGCTTCCGTGGACAGGTGGTGGTAGTGCGGAAGCGGCTGGTGTATCTGCCTGTTGCACTGCGAAGCACTCGCGGGATTCTACGATTTCTTCGAAGTATGCAACTGTGGTACCCTCTGTAATGTGTCGACGCTCGTTGCTGAAGTTCATCAACAGGACCTCTGCTTGCCCAGACACTACACTGACGAGACTTCTGGCAATGGAGATTCCTCGAGAGAGTAAAAGCAAAGACACTCGTTCCGCGACACCTTCTCCAGTATGCTGCGTGTTACACGTGACAGCGAAGAGGCGGCATGATAACGGTGGCATGGTCACGTAGTCAATGACGCGCAAGGGCTTGCGCTGCAGCGCTGCGCTATGGTCCGCTGAGGACAGTAAACCATCCGGTATATCTATTATAGCACCGTACTCCGCAAGAAATCCATACCCAAGATGACCTGTTTACAACACTCAGAAAGAATAACGAAGGTTGCGACGAATGATGAATCCCCGACCTCGATTCGTGCGGTGCACTTCCCGGTAGTCGTCAGCACCTGGCCCCCAGCTCCTCTATTTTCCGGTTCCGTCCATTTAATTCTCACCTTCTTGAGTTTGTCGGCCAGATGCACACTCATTATTGAAAAGTCCGCACCAGTGTCGACCAGTGTCGTCACGTCATGACCGTCAATTGAAAGTGCAATGTCGGTGGTGACCGTGTCGTCTGTTGTCGATTCATCTGAAATGTGCGGCGAAATTTTGTGCGGCGGTAATGAGAATTTTCAACTCTTCGCCAGTTCGCAACCCCCCCCCCCCCCTAAAGTCGCTGCTTTTAGTTTCCCCGGTGTGGACTGGGAAATCTTCTTCTCGTCATGTCCTTGGAGCTGCCTCTAGTAGATTGGGGAAAATGACCTAGGAGAGGGCGAGCGTGACCGGAACCCAGGAGAAACGTCCCGCGGGATCGTTGTGCTCGTACCAACGTTGCGTCTTCCGTTGAAATAGCGTTGAGTGGTAGTGGACAAAAATCCTTGGTACCCGGCAACGGGGTGAAGACAATACCGCACGATGTGGCCTGCTTCTCCACAATGGAAGCACAAGGTCCGGTAGTCAGGGGCACGCCAGATGTCGGTTTTGCGGAGTAGAGGTCGCATCGACGTCGACGTTTCCCTATAGCACCAAGGCACTGTCGGCGGCTGTTGCTGGTGCTACTGCTGTGATGGTGGCCCGTGAGATGGCTGTCGACGGAGAATTTCTGCATAGGTTGGCTTAACTGTGTCAGTGTTCGGCTCAGGAAGTGAAAGCGCTTGCTTTATCTTTTGGCGCACGACTTCTGTGAGCGACGCAATCGCGCAGTCATTCCGGAGTGGCGCTGAGCTTCTTCACCTCTTCTTGCACGATTTCGCCTATCAGGTCACGCAAAGAACGCTCGTCAGGTATCACAGTGGTCACGGTGGTTGCGCTGATTTTTCCACTGTTGTTTGGGTGGTCATACTGGCAGTAGCGTAGCTGTAGTGCGCTTTCGATGGCGGTCGCCTCCTTCAAAAATTCGTCGACGCTTGAAGGTGGGTTCCGCACGAGACCAGCAAAGAGCTGCTCTTTAACACCGCGCATGAGGTGGCTGATCTTTCTGCTTTCGAACATATCAGTATCGGCTCACTGTAAGAGACGAGCCATGTCCTCAACAACAATAGCAACAGATTCCTTTGGCTTTTGAATTCGTGATTCGAGAAGTCGTTGTGCATGCTCCTTCCTTTCGGTGTTTGCGAAGGTGTCCAGGAACTTCCGCCGGAACTCGTCCCACGTTGACCCTAACGCGATTCGTGAACAATGTGCGAGCCCCATCCTGAAGAGGGAAATAAACTTACCCCAACTTCTGTACGGCGTTCCACCCGTTAACGTTGGTTGTGTGCTCGAACTCCTGAAGCCAGTCATCTGCGTCCTCATATGTGT